ATCTTCTGGAAGCGTCTTGTCGCTTCGGCGTATCCTAATTCCTATGTCGTATGTCCTGGAGTGATACTTAGATCTATTGCCTAAGTCAACACTCAAATATCTTCCTAATTCCTATGTCGTATGTCCTGGAGTGATACTTAGATCTATTGCCTAAGTCAACACTCAAAAGCATCTTGTCGCTTTAACGTATCCTATTTCCTATATTGTATGTCCTGGAGTGATACTTAGATCTATTGCCTAAGTCAACACTCAAATGTCTTCTTAATCTTGCTCTTGCTGCTTAATACTAATAGAGACTGATCTACAGTCTCCTGTGATCGATCTTTGATTCTGGGTGAAAGTGAATTGATTGCTTCGAAGGGCTCATATGCCCTCCTTTTATGCTAATTTGGCCAATACCACTCCATCCAATCAGATCACAGGCTTACTAAGCGCCTGCTGCGCCGCAGCATGCTTACTAATATCTGCAGCAAGCTTACTAATCAGCACAGCCTTGCAACACAGCCCTGTGATACCATAGCAACATGTCTGAGTGCCCACATATTTCCCCTTTTTTGAGGCGTATCTAGACTACTCTGACCGTCTGATCCATGCTATGTGATCATGATAGTGTAGTAAACAGTCAAATGTGTACATAAACAAAACTATTATACTACCAAAAATATTTAAATACTAATATGAGTCAGTTCTGAGTACTGGGAAAGAAACTAGCATATCTAAGGATCGGCTACTATGATTGTAGTCACGCAAGTTGTACTCTATAGTAATTGTGAGTGGCTATCTATAGACTACATTTGTATTTCCCGCATGCATTCTACGCGTCTCGCACCTAATCACTTTAGGGGCGGGACAACACTCTTCCTTATTCCCCCTTCCCCCCCTTTTTGGAAGTTCCCCTGTTTCCTCTGTGCCTCAGCGCCCCTAGGGCCTCCGCCCTTGGGGCAGGAACCCTAGGCCCTCCCACCAGTCATGTGCCGGTTGCTGAGGACCCTCCTTCACTCTCATTGGACCTTCCTTCACTCTCATTGGACCTTCCGCCCCTTTGTTGATTGATTATTCAGCTACTATATAGTCACACCTGTCGCACCAGGGAGCAACTCAGACTTGATCTTTCAGTTGCCTCCCTGCCTTGTGCAACAGCGTCTCCACCGCTGTCCCAAGAGAGATCCACTGCCCCTATGTCACGTGCAGTCTCTGATCCATCTCCAACAACCAACTGTCAGACCTACAGCTCTGAGAAGTCAGATATCACATGTTCCAGTTCTCCGGCAACTCAACATCCCAGTAGTCCTTGATGCATCACGGATTCAACTCCAATGTTCATCAGCTTCTCCACCCTTATTATCTATCTTTAGTATTGCTTTCTCCACGTACCCTCTGGATCCCCAGACTGAACTTGTCCCGACTCCTGCAAAGGTGGGTATTGGCTGTTGCACTGGGAGTTGTCACAGTGATGGGGCTGTAACCCTGCCAAAGCGTGATGAAAGCGTGATGAAGTGTGATTCCGCCACTGCAGGCGCTTAAATTGCAATGGACGCAGCAGCGTGACATTTGAAACAGTGGGAAAACTGACATAAGTGTTGAGTATCAGTGCTGGAATCTGATTGATCACATCGCCGACCTGCCGTGCTTGGATTCATGGTGATCGTGCGAGACTTGAGTCAGTTACATAAGTGTATTGGAGCCACATTTGGGCTTATGTAAGTAAATGACACTTTCCGAACTTGGGCAAGGCCGAGCGCCCATGGAAGTCCACGTGCATTGTGTCATCGTTCCCACTTGGCATACAGTGTAATGACACTCCTTGATGCACCCTCACTCCTTGATGCAAACAGGGATTACGCATAAATGACGAACTTTCATACCACAAGAAGAATTCAGCAGGTAGATGCATATATGTTGATTCTAGATCTGAAATATCTTCGATTTTTTAGAAATCAAGCATTGTTGAAATCAGGCTATTTTGTGTGTTGATGGTATGATGCATGACCGATTGCGCACCTATTACTTACCTGATTGCCAGTAAAGCTCACAGTCGTATATATATATAGGTGTATACTCCATTTTTCATTAGTGACCCAAGTGTATCCATCCATGAGAGTGGCCTATAGGACACCCTGAAGAGTTAGAGGAGGTCGGCCACAGTGCATGACATGCCTGGCTGAGTGTGGAAGCTTACCGGAGTAAGCCGGTGTTGTGATG